AGTTGCTGGGATTTATAGTTCACCTACAATCAAAGAGCATTCTGAACTCCACTAAGGATGGAATTGAACTAAACTTGGCACACAGAACTCCCACGACCAACAGAATAAATAAAAATACTGAGTTTCCTTTCTGTTTTGCGACCCCTCTGACAATCCCGCACGACCCTCCCAGAGGTCTCGACCCTCAAGTTGAGAAACTCAACCTTAGCAGAATAGACATAAAGTATATTACTAGTAGTAGTACCTGTATGCCGGTCTGGTGAACCGCTTCTCTTCATCGGAGCTGCAAGCCGGGTAGTCATCTCCATCATAATTGAAGCAGTTGTAAGGATACTGAGTGTTGTCAAACATCTTCCCGGTCTGTTTTGGTCTCCTGGAAAGAAGCAGATGGAGTGATGCTTGCTGGCTGTCTCACCGGTGGTTTCTTTCCTTCCTTCCTTGCTCCCTTCTTTCTTTCTTTCTTTCCTTGTGCTTGCTTCCACGCTCCCTCCTTTCCCTCCTCTCCTGCTCTCTTTCTGCCTCCCACACGTGCTAGTAGGTATTTCCCCTCTTCTTCTTCTCCTTCTCCTTCTTCCCCAACAGCCCATCTCACCGAATATTCCCCGTGGAGGTGTTTTTCCATGCAATCACGCTCCCTTTCCTCCCCTCCCACTCGGCTCTGCTATTTGGGGAGGGGGTGGAGAGGGGGGGAAGAGCCCAGCCACAAGCCAAGCGCTTGCAATGTGGGAAAGGTCTCTCCTGAACCTTTGAACTTGGGTGGGGAGAGCCAGTAGCAAGGAGCTGCGCCTCCCTGGGTGGTCCCGGCCCAGGAAGGAGCCTCCCAGCCTTCCTCCCCATCCTAGGATGTACAAACCAAGTGACACAAGGAAACAAGGTGAGGTTCAGAACCCACCCCGCAAGGCTCGTTTCTCATCGGTGGGGAAAGTGGGGAAAGTGGGTGTTTGGCCTCCCCGCTGATTTCGAAAAACGATACCAATCTATAGGTATTGCAAAAACAAAAGAAGGTGGTGCTCTCTTTGGAAGTCCCAAACCCAACTTGCAAAAATCCTGGGTTTTTTTTTTGGAAGTCCCAAACCCAACTTACAAAAATCCTGGGAGAGGAATGTACCTTTTTGGAAGGAAGTCCCAAACCCAACTTACAAAAATCCGGGTTTTTTTGGAAGTCCCGAACCCAACTTGCAAAAATCCTGGGATAGGAATGTTCCTTTTTGGAAGTCCCGAACCCAACTTGCAAAAATCCTGGGATAGGAATGTTCCTTTTTGGAAGTCCCGAACCCAACTTGCAAAAATCCTGGGATAGGAATGTACCTTTTTGGAAGTCCCAAACCCAACTTTTTTTGGAAGTCGCAAACCCAACTTGCAAAAATCCTGGGATAGGAATGTGCTTTTTTTGGAAGTCCCAAACCCAATTTGCAAAAATCCTGGGATAGGAATATACCTTTTTTTGGAAGTCTCAAACCCAACATGCAAAAATCCTGGGATAGGAATGTATCTTTTTGGAAGTCCCAAACCCAACTTGCAAAACTCCTGGGATAGGAATGTACCTTTTTTGGAAGGAAGTCCCAAACCCAACTTGCAAAAATCCTGGGATAGGAATGTACCTTTTTTTGGAAGTCCCGAACCCAATTTGCAAAAATCCGGGGATAGGAATATACCTTTTTTTGGAAGTCTCAAACCCAACTTGCAAATATCCTGGGATGGGAATGTACCTTTTTGGAAGTCCCAAACTCAACTTGCAAAAATCCTGGGATAGGAATGTACCTTTTTGGAAGTCCCGAACCCAACTTGCAAAACTCCTGGGATAGGAATGTACCTTTTTGGAAGTCCCGAACCCAACTTGCAAAAATCCTGGGATAGGAATGTGCTTTTTTGGGAAGTCCCAAACCCAACTTGCAAAAATCTGGGTTTTTTTGGAAGTCCCAAACCCAACTTGCAAAAATCCCGGGATAGGAATGTGCTTTTTTGGGAAGTCCCAAACCCAACTTGCAAAAATCTGGGTTTTTTTGGAAGTCCCAAACCCAACTTGCAAAAATCCCGGGATAGGAATGTGCTTTTTTGGGAAGTCCCAAACCCAACTTGCAAAAATCTGGGTTTTTTTGGAAGTCCCAAACCCAACATGCAAAAATCCTGGGATAGGAATGTGCTTTTTTGGGAAGTCCCAAACCCAACTTGCAAAAATCCTGGGATAGGAATGTGCTTTTTTTGGAAGTCCCAAACCCAACTTGCAAAACTCCTGGGATAGGAATGTACCTTTTTTGGAAGTCCCAAACCCAACATGCAAAAATCCTGGGATAGGAATGTACCTTTCTGGGAAGTCCCAAACCCAACTTGCAAAAATCCCGGGAAAGGAATGTACCTTTTTGGAAGTCCCAAACCCAACATGCAAAAATCCTGGGATAGGAATGTACCTTTTTTGGAAGGAAGTCCCAAACCCAACTTGCAACCAATCCTGGAATTTGCAACCAAGCACCCCGTGGATAGGGGAAAAAAGTAAATGGGATTTCTGGGACTAAAATGAGAACTGAAAAGAGAAAAAAAGGTGGTGCATTCAAAGAGAGAGAGAGAGAGAGAGAGAAGAAGAGAAAGGTTGGAGGGACTGCTGTCAAGGAGGGAAGGAAAAGGAAAATAGCTGTAGGCGCTGAGGAGAGAGAACTCCTTGTGTGGGCTTTGATCTGGCGGATGAATTAGGCTAATAACGCTGCTCGGCGTTGGCATTGAATCCTTGTAGCAGTTGGATCCTCCTGCCCCCACTTTCCCCCCTCTCGCTACTCAGTGCTTTGGAGTGGCTTCCAATAAGTGAGGTAAAACTCAAGGCAGATCAGTCAACACTTTCATGATGGGCATGGGAGGGGAGCGGAGGAGAAGGCAGATCCTTGAGAGGCGTGCACGCGCAACAACATCGCAATTAGATGATTTGAAGACAAGCCATCCTTCCTCTCCCCCCAAAGAAATGGGTTCATGGGGTCTATGGGGCCTATTCAACAGTGTTCAACAGTGACAAATGCAAGAGACTCCACTTTGGCAGGAAAAATGAAATGCAAAGATACAAAATGGGGGACGATGAGGCCTGGCTCGAGAGCAGGACGTGTGAAAAAGATCTTGGAGTCCTCGTGGGGAGGAAGGTGAACATGAGCCAGGAATGTGATGTGGCGGCAAAAAAAGCCAATGGGATTTTGGCCTGCATCAAGAGGAGCCTAGTGTCTAGATCCAGGGAAGTCATGCTACCCCTCTATTCTGCTTTGGTTAGACCACACCTGGAATATTGTGTCCAATTCTGGGCACCAATTCAAGAGAGATGTTGACAAGCTGGAATGTGTCCAGAGGAGGGTGACTAAAATGATCAAGGGTCTGGAGAACAAGCCCTATGAGGAGCGGCTTAAGGAGCTGGGCATGTTTAGCCTGAAGAAGAGAAGGCTGAGAGGAGATATGATAGCCATGTATAAATATGTGAGAGGAAGTCCTAGGGAGGAGGGAGCAAGCTTGTTTTCTGCTTCCTTGGAGATTAGGACACGGAACAACGGCTTCAAACTACAAGAGAGATTCCATCTGAACATGAGGAAGAACTTCCTGACTGTGAGAGCCGTTCAGCAGTGGAACTCTCTGCCCCGGAGTGTGGTGGAGGCTCCTTCTTTGGAAGCTTTTAAACAGAGGCTGGATGGCCATCTGTCAGGGGTGATTTGAATGCAATATTCCTGCTTCTTGGCAGAATGGGGTTGGACTGGATGATGGCCCAGGAGGTCTCTTCCAACTCTAGGATTCTAGGATTCTAGGATTCTATTTCCAAGCTCCCCTTCCTAGGCAAGGTTCCACAGCAACCACGAGCAAACTTCGGCCCTCCAGGTGTTTTGGACTTCAATTCTCACAATTCCTTACAATTCCTAATCAATTCCAGTGGGAGTTGAAGTCCAAAACATCTTGTTGCTGTTTATTCGTTCAGTTGCTTCCAGCTCTTCATGACCTCCTGGACCATCCCAGGCCAGAGCTCCCTGTTGGCCATCACTACTCCCAGGGGCTCCTTCAAGGTCAAGCCAGTCCCTTCAAGGATCCCATCCACCCACCTTGCCCTTGGTTGGCCCCTCTTCCTTTTTCCTTCCATTTCCCCCAGCATCACTGTCTTCCCCAAGCTTTCCTCTCTTCTCATGATGTGGCCAAAGGACTTCATCTTTGCCTCTTATATCCTTCCCTCTGGTGAGTAGCCAAGATGCTTGTTTATAAAGCTATTGTCCTTCAAACCCTGCTATATGCCTGTGAAACGTGGACTGTCTACAGACATCACATGCAACTCCTGGAATGATTTTTCTGAATGAAGCAGAGAGTGTTTGAGGACCGGGACATCCGTAGGGAGACCAAGGGGCTTGTTGATAAAGCCATTGTCCTCCCAACCCTGCTATATGCCTGCGAAACGTGGACTGTCTACAGATGTCACTTTCAAATTCTTGAACGATTCCATTAGCGCTGCCTCTAGAAAATCCTGCAAATCTCTTGGAAAGACAGGCGGACAAATGTCAGCGTGCTGGAAGAAGGAAAGACCACCAGCATTGAAGCGATGCTCCTCCGCCATCAACTCTGCTGGACCGGCCACGTTGTCCGGATGCCTGACCACCATCTCCCAAAGCAGTTGCTCTATTCCGAACTCAAGAATGGAAAACTCACAACACTCGGAGAAAATTAAGATCTCGAAAGGTACCAGGCAGGGGTGCCCCCTTTCCCCTCTACTTTTCATTATGGCCTTAGAAACCCTCCTAAAAACAATCAAAGAGGATAAAAACATCAAGGGCATGAGGATTGCATCACAGGATTATAAGATCAGAGCATATGCCGATGATGTCATCGGCATCATTGAGGACCCTCTTAACAATATACAGAAATGGCTATATACAATAGAAGAGTTCGGTAAGGTCTCTGGGTTCAGATTAAACAAAGATAAGACAGTTATACTAACAAAGAACATCAAACCGGATAAGCAGATACTAGCACTTAAAAGGCAAACGGGTTTGGAGATCAGTAAAAAAATAAAATATCTAGGGATTTGGATCACGGCTAGCAATGCTCAATTGTTTAAAAACAACTATGAGCCGACTTGGAAGAAGGTCCAAATAGACCTTACAACAGTGGTTCTCAACCTTCCTAATGCCGCGACCCCTTAGTAAATGTCCTCATATTGTGGTGACCCCCAACCATAACGTTGTTTTTGTTGCTACTTCTTGAATTTTGCTCCTGTTATGAATCATAATATAAATATCTAATATGCAGGATGTATTTTCATTCACTGGACCAAATTTGGCACAAATACCTTAAACGCCCAAATTTGAATACTTGTGAGGTTGGAGGGGGTTGATTTTGTCATTTGGGAATGTTGTAGTTGCTGGGATTTATAGTTCACCTACAATCAAAGAGCCTTCTGAACTCCACCAATGATGGAATTGAATCAAACTTGGCACACAGAATTCCCATGACCAAGAGAAAATACTGGGGGAGTCAGAAGGACACTGACCTTGAGTTTTTGGAGCTGTAGTTCACCTAAATCCAGAGAACACTTGGACCCAGTGATGGATATGGATCAAACTTGGCTCAGATACTCAATATGCCCAAATGTGAACACTGGTAGAGTTTGGAGAAAGTAGACCTTGCCATTTGGGAGTTGTGGTTGTTGGGATTCATAGTTCACCCACAATGAAATAGCATTGTGGACCCCACCAATGATAGAATTGGACCAAACTTCCCACACAGAACACCCATGACAAAGAGAAAATACTATGTTTTCTGATGGTCTTTCGTGACCCCTCTGACACCCCCTCGCGACCCC